CATAAAACAGTCAGATTTAAGGAGTGTTTAATTTTCAACTGTCTATACTATTGAAGTAATCTTGTTACATCTTATTGAACAGCAATTATTTGGAGGGGGCCAGAAGTTAACAAGCTAATAATTGACAAGTTAATATATTTATATATTCTCTGTTGTACTCCATAAAGTACACTAAAGTACTCTCTGTAAGTATACTAAAAAAAAGTCTACGATACCTTTTACTCTATTTTGAAAGTGAGTTTACTTTTTTTTTTTCTTTTAATGAATAGGACTCAGGATTTGAAGACAAAAAGCATTATATTCCAGTGGTTGATCAAACTCTACTAGAGCCCCCACCAATAGTAGTGATAGTGATGGGGCCTCCAAAAGTTGGAAAGAGCATTTTGATACAAGGCTTCATTCGGAACTTCACTTGGCAGAAGTTGACCGAGATCAGGGGCCCAGTGACGATCGTGTCAGGAGATGCTGCCACAGACACAGTTGGCGTGGCTGGTGTCATCTGACGGACATGCATGTGTTTGTTGTTTTCTTGAGTGGAACATATTAAAGATTGTCGTATCATGTTAATCTCTCTTATGCTTTTACTAAGTTGGCTATGGCTTCAGAAAAGGGTAAGTTCTCAGAGATAAGGATGTGACACACATCTTTTCCTGACTTCCCTATGGCTTTGCCAAGTATGTTCCTTGAAAGGCCCTAGCAGGCCTGGTTACTGTGAACACATCATTTAACAGATACCACGCACCTCCTATGTGCCAGGCTCACATGCTTGCACTTATGAAGCCACATTCTGGGGAAAGTGAGAGTTTTCTCTGTTTTCTATGAGAGTTTGTCTGCTTTTGGAGATGGTGACCTTTCCGAGTATCATGGAAAATGAAACAAGCTTCCAGTTGTAGAATGACAATATATAATCTGAAATCTCTTGTTATTGCAATGATATAGTTGGATTGAGGCTTTTCTTTATCTTTGGAGCATCCATATATATTTTTTTCTTTTTTTGAGACAGAGTCTTACTCTATGGCACAGGCTGGAGTGCAGTAGGGTGATTACAGCTCACTGCAGCCTCAACCTCCTAGGCTCAAGCAGTCCCCCTTCCTTAGCCTCCTGAGTAGTGTATGCCACTATGCCTGGCTAATTTTTCTTCTTCTTTTTTTTTTCCCCTGTAGAGATGGAGTTTCCCCATGTGGCCCAGGCTGGTTTCAAGACTCCTGAGCTCAAGGGATCTGCCTGCATTGGCCTCCCAAGGTGCTGAGACTACAGGCATGAGCCACTGTGCCCAGCCCATATTTTCTTGTCCGTTTTCTTTTTATCTTAATTTATTATTAAGGTAATTATAACTAATTATTGTTATGAATATTCTGTTGCATTGTGTTTGAGGATGTTTTTAGCTATGGTGGGAATACGGGAAGTTTTGATAGAGGCGAAGACATTGGCCTGCAGCTGAACAGCAGGATTGTGGTTATCATGGAGCCTGTCCAGTCAGGATTTTCTCTGTATGAGCACTTTTATTCATCTGGTAGACTTTTGATATTATTTCAATTTAGAACTCAGCAGGAAAACCAGGATGGAATTTATTTTATGTTACCAGTTTTTGCCTATAAAAATGAGCTTCTGGTATACTCCTGTAAATGTATATGGCGTTTTACTGGATGCAATTAAAACATGAAAATTAGAGTTGATGGTTAGAGTTTTTTCAGAGTCTTTTTAAAGTAAAATTTTCATCTTTTCACTTATAGGTAAAAGCACAGACTCACCATTATTGAATGTGGGTGTGACATTAACATGATGATTGATCTGGCTAAAGTAGCAGATCTGGTAAGTCAGAGGGGGCAGCCTGTGGTGCTGATGGAGACTTACAGCATTATGTTGGGTTATTTACCCTGTGATGAAGGGAAGAGAGTTTTATGATTATTAAAGGAATCATGGTTTTCATCAGGGATACATTCATGTGATTGAACTGATGATAATAATAATAATAGTAATAAATGTTGTTATATTAATAATAAAATTGGAATGTGCACAATGAAATATATCCCCAAATCTAAAAGCAAATCATAGGATGGAGAAAACCTTTAATGAACACAGCTAATAGGAACTCATTGACATGCATACGTATATATGTACAAATATATTATAGTAAGTACCATTTCTTCTTGGACCCTTCCTGGCACTATGCTGACTGCTTTCTACAAATTTAGCTTACATAAACCCTTGAGGTGAGTTCAGTATTATCTGTAGTTTTCATAAGATAAAATAGAGCCTCTTAGCAGTTAAGTAACTTGTGTGAAGGTGGGACCCTTGTTTCTGTTGGTTCCAAAATCTTCATTTTTTATGATAATGCTCAAGTAAGTACATGAATTTCCGTGAAGAAGTGGTCAGAGTTTATCAATAGAAAATCTAGACAGCACTCAGTGTATGGAAAACATACACGTGCTTCCATTTATGGAAATGGTAAGGTTCACTATTTCTGATATTCTATTAACTATCTTTTAAATGAGCAAAAATAAAATACAAATTAGAAAAAAATAAGCCATACTGATTAGGAAGTGTGGGGTGACATATATCTTGTTTTTTTCATTTTTATTTGTTTTTTTTCTAGACAGCTGTTTGGTGACAGCTACAGATTTTATACTTTGGCCCAGGAAACTCCTAAATTACAAAGTAAAAAGTAATACAGATTTTAAAGTTGTGTCATTGTAATGTCAGGAAGCTAAATAACATTCAAATTTTGAATGTGTAATGCTGCTGTTAGTAAAAATAAGTGTTATTATTAATGTAGTGTAAGCTTACTAAATCTTGTGCACTTGAAATGATTGAGATAGTTCAAAGAAGTCATTTGTTTCTCTTTTATTTAAAATGTAGCAAGTTTTTAATTTTGAAGACATACATATTAAGAGATGTTGTTACTGTTTTATTTTCAATTATTATGGATACTTAATAGATGTACATATTTATGGGGTACATGTGGTATTTTAATAGAAGCATACAATGTGTGATGATCAAATCAGGGTAATTAGGATATCCATCACCTCAAACATTGATCATTTCTTTGTGTTAGGAACATTTCAGTTCATTCTTTCAGTTATTCTGAATTATATAATTATAGCCACCCTATTGTGCTGTCGGACACTAGAATTTATTTTATTGAAGTGTATTTTTTTTATCTGTAAACCTTTCCCTCTTTGTCCCGCCCTCCCTGCTATCCTTCCCAGCCTCTTAACCATCATTGAGAGAGATGCCTATTATGTAAATCTTTTTAAGATTTTCATAAAGAACACGCATATGATAAAGTACTGTAATTGTAATGCAGGGTCCACACAGTGCACATTTTCTTTTTGCCTGCTCTAACTGCTGGTCTCTCAGATCCCGGCAGAGCAGTATCTTTCCAGATGCATATAAACACACATACCACCCTTTAAAAACACAAATAGTAGTTTATTTGACACACTGTTCTGTGCTTTGCTTTTTTCATGTAATATATCATGGAGATATATAATCAGTGAGTACTGTAGTTCTTCCTTCTTTTTTAAGAATATAGTATTCCATTCAATGGATGCACCATAATTTATTTAGTCTGGCTTATGTTGCTTGCTCTGCTCTGGGTTGTCAAAGCCTCCTGAGTACGCAGAGGCACAAGCAATATGTGGATTTAGGTGTGTACATGCGTGTGTGGATTAGGGGAGTAACACTGGCTTAGATGACAAAGATTGGTAGCTGAAGATACTCCACCTGTCCTTTGAGCTGGTCCAGTGTTGCTGGAGGGCTATGCTTGCTGCCTTGGTCTGCACTGGCAGCTGTGCTTTCTTATGAGCTCACCGGCATATGTTCTGTGGTATCAGATTTTGAATGTTTCTTAGTTTAATCAAAGTTGGGCATTTCTGTTTCCATTTTTTGTTATTTTTAGCTATCTATGGAAAGATCAGAACAGAAATATCTTTAATATTAAAACTAGACATTTCCAGAATTCTGAAATTATTTTGCATCTTTGAAGGATCTTAAATTTTGAATATTCATCTTATCTGTTTATATTTTCTTATACACTACCATTCATCATAATCTTACTGTTTTTTGACTTAATTCAAAAAATTTCTGAGCCGTTGAATTATACAAATTAACATATAAGATGGAGATTTCCACTGCATACTTTCCAGCAAAAAACACAGTGTTTTTTTTTTTTTTCTATGAGGAGACTAAAAAAAGAGGTTGGTTTTCTGTACATATTTAATATATTTCATTGATTATCACTTTTTCCCCATTCTTTGGATATAAGAGACCTGTTATTAGGTTTGAAAGTGTCTTACATAAAACTTCATTTCTTTAAATTAGGATTTCATAGGGAAGGGCCAGGTTAGACCCAGCCTTTTCTTTTTTCTTTTATTTATTTATTGTTTTAGAGATAGGATTTCTCCATCTTGGTCAGGCTGCTCTCGAACTTCTGACCCCAGGTGATCTGCCTACCTTGGCCTCCCAAAGTGCTGGGATTAGGTGTGAGCCACTGCGCCTGGTGAGACCCAGCCTTTTCTGAGTTACTGCTCATACACTGAAATTCTTAAAATGGAAGTTTATGTCCTAGTTGCCATTGTCTTATGGGTGCCTTTGAGAGCAAGTCAGAGAGTGGTGGTTTCTCTGTCTGGCTGATGCCTGTTAGTCATTTGATTTAGTCTGGATTGGGACTTTTCTGTTGAGGGCCAGATAGTAAATATTTTTGGCTTTGTGGCTTATATATCTCTTGCAGCTACTTAGCTCTGCAGTTGTAGTGCACAGGCAGCCATAGACAATATGTAAATGAATTACGAGCCTATATTCTAATAAAGCTTTAGTTACAGAAACAGGTGATGGGCTGGATTTGGCCCATAGGCTAGTTGCCAACCCCTAGTGTAGATGGTCTGTTTTGGTAGTTTCTTTGAGAAATGATGTGTTCTGCTGTTAGGTACTGATGCTTATAGATGCCAGCTTTGGGTTTGAAATGGAAATGTTTGAGTTTCTAAACATCTGTCGAGTACATGGCTTTCCTAAAATTAATGAGAGTTCTCACCCACCTCGACTCTTTCAAGCATAATAAGCAACTGAAGAAGACAAAGAGGCGATTAAAACACAGGTTCTGTACAGAAGTTTACCCAGCAGTAAGAGAAATAATTGTTGGATACTAACAGTGTAATACTTTTAAAATAGACTGAAGAGACCAGGTGCAGTGGCTCACACCTGTAATCCCAGTACTTTGGGAGGCAGAGGCGGGCAGATCACTTGAGGTCAGGAGTTTCGAGTTCAGGGCAACGTGGCCAAACCCTGTCTCTAATAAAAATGCAAAAATTAGCCAGGTGTGGTGGTGTGCATGTGTAATCCCAGCTGCTCGGGAGGCTGAGACATGAGAATTGCTTGAATCTGGGAGGCCGAGGGTGCAGTGAGCTGAGATCGTGCCACTGCACTCCAGCCCAGTTAACAGAGTGAGACTCCATCTCAACAAAAAAAGAAAGACTGAAGAGACATTAGTAAGCTTCTCTATAGGATTCACCTCCTAATTTCCTTTGTGTGTGTATTCACAGTCTCTGGAAGAGTTCCCTCAAGAGACTGCTTATTCTGAGCCTCTTGGTGCATCTCATTTGTCTCTGTACCTGCTGCACAAGGCAGTGTCTGGCTGTTTTGGGGTTGGGACTTAATAGAGGATATCAGGAGTTTTTGCAGTTACAGGACCAGGCACTGCCCCTTCCTTTCCATAATGCTCTGGTTGATCGGCCACAGAACCGTTTCTGTGCTCACTTCCCTGTCATCATCATTCTTAGACACCTCTGCTCAGCTGCAGAGCAGTCTGCCTCTGTGGGGTTCTAATAAGTCCTGAAAGAAGCCAGCAAGGCTCTGGAAGCCTCAGGACAGTGGTTTGCTGGAAGTCTCCCTTCTTATGATTGCTTGTTGTTTAGAGCTTTTATTTTGTGGCAGTATTGGTAAGAATTTATTTTTTAATTTTCCCTTAATGTTTAGGGTGCCAAGCTGTTCTATTTTTTCTGGAGTGGTGCATGGAGAATATCAAAACCAGGAAATCCACAATCTGGTCTGTTCTATTACAGTTATGAAGTTAGGCCTCTCACATGCCAAACTTCTCACCCTTATATCTTGGCAGACAGGTAAAAAGTGATTGTAAACTTTTTCTTCCTGGGCCTTTAAAAAGGCTAGAAAAAGAAAAGAACAGTGATAGGATTTATTTCATGCCTATTTGAATAGCGGGGATAGAAGTGCAGTTGATGGAAAATGTCTACTTATTGCTCCAAGTTGCTATGCCTTTGGGAGCAAATTAATTATGAGATGTTTAGGAAAATGGGAGGACTTGGAAGCATTTAAGGCTACAGGATGTGGCTCCATCCTACATTCAGCCTCGGTTTTCAGTGATGCTGCCTTGTACCCATGTGTTTGAATTCTTCATGTGTGCCTTCAGTTTCCTTCCTTTGTGCTCTTCCTCATGTGGTTTTCTCAGCCTGGAATTCCCTTTTTCACCTGCCAGAATCCACCTCACAGTAAAAATCCCAGAGTACAGGCTCGCCCTCTTCCAGAAGGGGATTTTCTGAATATGTTCTTCACTTTTCCCTGACCCCAAGTGAACATCTCCCTGTGTGGTGTCTTATGGAATGAATGTCATTTTCAGCCTAGAGACACAGTTGTGTGTCTGTCCCTTTTCCTCTGGTGGATGGTGAACAGTGATTCCTTATTTCTGCATTTTCTAGTCTAAACGACGTGCTTAGTGGACAAGAGTGTGATGAGTCACTGACACATGAAAGGAGGGATAGGAAGTTCTGGCATTCATTTCTGCTGTATGACTGAATTTGTTTTTCTGGGATGGAATATTTGACAAACCCAGAGGATATCCAAACAAACATCAGATGTGACTGGCAGATGTCACTTTATGGTTATTTAAGAGGAGAGCACTTGAAAAGTAAAAGCAAGATTCACATGCCAGGTATTGTCTTGTTAGAACATGCTAGAATTACATATAGGATTCTCAGGATGGCGTTATTTCTCAGGAAAACTGAAAAATGACCAAACAAGGGAAGATGGCCTTGCTGGAGGTTTCAAAAGTAACCCAGCTCTGTGTAGGCCTGTAACTGTGTTATCGAATCCCCTCCTCTCTGACTTCTTGTCTTGTAGCTAGAGGGGCACTGTTCCAGTGTGGCACAATGCCCTTCTTTAGTGTCATGGTTTAAGCCCTTGGATTATGGATCATTTTTACCCCCACAGTCAACAGTAGATACTTACTGACTCGTCCGCTGAAACTGGCTTTTTAAAAGGGAACTGTCTTCTAGGGGTAGGAGATTTCACTGTGAGTGACATCAGATTCCTCCCAGACCCTTATGCTCTTCCTGAACAACAGAAGAAGCGCTGTTTAAGTGAGAAGGAGAAGCTGGTTTATGCACCTCTTTTTTGAGTTGGGGGTGTGCTGTATGACAAAGACACTGTCTATGTTGACCTTGGTGGCAGCCACGGTTTTCAGGCATTGGTAAGACAGGAGTCATTGCTGTGAACTCCCATTCTTCCTTCTGAATCTATTTTTTAATCACAAAAGTAATATACTCAGCTTTTATTTATTGAAGACTTTTCTCTTGTACTTAGAATACAGGCCCAAATGCATATTGTAAATATATAGAATTTAAAAAATACTTTTTTTTCATTGTACCAGGCAGAGTCCTGTCCTCCATGCCTCCTTGATCCATGGCCCCAGTGCAGGCACTGCTGCCAGTGTGGCGCTTACATGGCTCATCCTCGTTTCTACAAAATCAGTGTGCTTTCCAGTTCTCATTGGTCTTTCTCTCTTTCACAGTGGTCTCCTTTGTATTTTAAAGTAGGTTTCAAATGTTTATTTCTTAGTTCTCAAGTTGAATTGTATTGGGTTAAAATCAGGGTTATTTAAAAATGTTAGAAAAGCTAACATTGTGGTTGTAGCATTGGAACTGAGGTTTTTCTAGTTAGTTGTTTAGGTTATCAGGTTATATACTTCCTGAACTTTCGAAAAATTTAGTGGAGATGGGGATCCATTTCAGCCTTTGTTGTGAAGATTTTCTTTTCTGCTTTTTGAGGCATTAAGAAAGGTTCTCAGGAAATGTGTCTGAGCTAATTTTGAGAAACTGAGACAAACCAGTGTCTCTCCAGGATCTTTGTACCTTCTTCACGTCCTCCTTCTTGGTGGTCTTGACAGGATGAGGTGGGGTCCACCTATGAGCTGGTCCAGAGTCTCACTCTACCCACTCCGTTATTGATGGCAAGATGGCTTCAAGATGAGTGACACCGTTTTCTTATTCCAAGTCACTTGGGTGAGAGGATATAGATAATCATGGGTAAGTCTGCTTTTTTTTTCTATTTTTAATAAAAGGTTGTATTACAGAAATGTGTTCTGTCATCAGACAACATTTTCGTGGGATTCATTCCAGGTTGTTTTGTTTCACTTTGTGTGTACATGTGTCTCTGAGGGCTGTTCACTTACCTGACATTACAAGGGAGTATTTTCTTGAAGTAAAATACAGGATGCATTTTTCAGCAGATCCCAAATGTTCCTCAAGTACCACACCATCTTCCATAGGTTGCTTTTTGCTTTTTAAGAGACCTGAGGCCAACTGGCTTTCTTTTGGTGAACAAAACACTAGAGCAGAGTCAGAGAGTTTGTGGCTGTTCAGAAGCCACAGAGTTTTGTTTAGATTTTCAAAGTTTTATTTAGATTATGTTGTATTATCTCCTGTGGGTAGGTTTCCTCTGATGTATGGCTTATGTGAATTATTTTTCAGTCTGGGTTGGGAATTTGTATTTCTTTATACATAGTGGATGTTTGTAAAACATGGTTTTGTTGTATTGATTTATGACTCCCACTAAAATTCATCTGAAAAATTTGAGATTATCTAGTATGTAATTTCTTACGCTGTGCATAAACTAGCACAGTGCCTGACAGATACGAAGTGTTTGTGGAAAGATCACTTTTTTTTTTTTTTTTTGAGACAGTCTTGCTCAGGTGCCAAGTTGGAGTGCAGTGGCATGATCTCAGCTCACTGCAACCTCCGCCTCCCGGGTTCAAGCAGCTCTGCCTCAGCCTCCCCAGTAGCTGGGACTACAGGCGTGAAGATCACTCTTATAATGAGTGTTATGAGTTATTATCATTTTTGCACATCCTCCTAGTCATCCTTGTCTACAAAAATATAGACAAATAAATCTGCCTGCTAATATAGTTACAGTTTAAATACATAATTTGTTTCTATATGCTGAGCATTTCCTTTTTCTATACAGTGTTTATGTAGTTATCATTTTGTTATTATTTGTGTCTATTTGTTTGTTTGTTTTTGAGATGAGGTCTCACTTTGTCTCCCAGGCTGGAGTGCAGTAGTGTGATTGTGCTTCACTGAGCCTTGAACTCCCAGGCCCAAGTGATCCTTTCGCTTCAGTCCCCCAAGTAGCTGGGACTACAGGAGTATGGGAGCCTTTAGCCTGTCTCTTGTGTCCTTTCAACCATTCCTGGCTAATTTTTGTATTGTTTTCTAAAGATAAGTTCTCACTATTTTGCCCAGGCTGGTCTAGAACTCCTGGGCTCAAGCTGTCCTCCTGCCTTGACCTACCTAAGTCCTGGGATTACAGATGTGAGCCACTATGCCTGGCCTATTATTGCTGTATTCTAACATTTATCTCTTATGGTATGATTTTTAGTTTTTTCTAATTTATGTTTTCATAATTTTATATATAGTGCTATGTTAAACAGCTTCTTGCAGTTGTCTTTCATCCTGTGATTTTAGCCTCCCGATGATTCTTTGCTATCAATTATGGCACTGGTGACTTAAAATGGATGTTCTTTATCTGTCTCTCCTCTTACATTTGTTAGCTGGCATTTTTAACAAAGAGCTTTCACTTCTCCCCTTTATTTCAGTATCACTGCTGACTAATGCACTTGCGTTTTATTCCATGGGTTATTTTCCATTAGTACATTATCCTTTCTGATGCCTAAGCTGTCCCAGATTCAGCTGTGGGAGCCTGCAGCTGGTCTCCTGTGTCCTTTCAACTATCTCTGTTAGCCTTTGAATGTTTCTTACTTTCTGACAGAAAAAAGAGGATCCATGCTCATTTTGTCTTCTTTCTGCCTTGGGCCTGACTCAGCCATTTCTCTTAAGGATCATGTGTTTTTAGCTTAGAAATTAATCAGCTTGCCAAAAGATCTACAAAACACTAACTTCCCTTTAGAGCAAATCTTTTCTAAAATTAGACTTATTTTTATTTTTTAAAAAAGGATTATTTCTTTATTCTCTCTTTAAGTTCTTTTGAACTGTGGTATTAGAAACCACACCTGAGTTTGCTTATTAACTCTTCCAATGTTTATCAGATCATTTTTTCCCTCTGCTATATCATCTTAAACAATTCCTTGACATTTTCTGTTTCTTTGTATTTTCATTGACTATATTACTGTTTCTAGATGAGCTGATTAATATACAAATTGATTTTTTTTGTATTTCCTTGGTAATAATATAGGCTGTTGATGCCAAAGGAGGAAAAACAAATGGACTTGAAAACTGGTCAAATGCATTGGAAAGCTGTTTTTGGAAATGAAGATGGATCTGGAGATGGTGACGATGAAGAAGATGATGAAATGTCTGAAGATGATGGGTTGGAAAACGGCTCTAGTGATGAGGAAGCAGACGAGGAGGAAAATGCTGAGGTGACTGATGAGTGTATGACTGCTAAGGGCATCAAACGACGGAAACTTGAGGAGTTAGAAGAAGACAGTGAAGTAGATTTGCCAGCATTTGCTGACAGCAACGATGACCTTGAGAGGAGCTCAGCAGAAGAAGGGGAAGCGGAGGAAGCTGATGAAAGCAGTGAAGAAGAGGACTGCTCTGCAGGAGAGAGGGGCATTTCAGGATCAAAGGCTGTTGGAGAACGTAGTAAAACAGAGCTGTCGCCAGCTAATCACTGAAGTGACTGTGTGAATCTGGAGAAGTCTTTGCCAATGAAGAAAGCAGCCCTTGGCCGGGCGCCATGGCTCGTGCCTATAGTCCCAGCACTTTGGTAGGCCGAGGTGGGCAGATCACAAGATCAGGAATTTGAGACCAGCCTGGCCAATATGGTGAAACTCTACTAAAAATACAAAAGTAAGCTGGGGGTGGTGGTGGATGCCTATAGTCCCAGCTACTGGGGAGGCTGAGGCAGGAGAACTGCTTGAACCTGGGAGGCAGGGGTTGCAATGCTCTGAGATTGTGCCTTTGCACTCCAGTCTGGGTGACAGAGTAAGACTCTGTCTCAAAAAAAAAAAACAAAAAACAAAAAGCAGAAAGCAGCACTCACCACTTCCAATGCTGGGCATTGCACAGCTGAAGATGCATTTGCATCTGAAGATGAATCTGAAGAAATCTCCTCACTTAGTGCAGAGGAAGAGGACTCAGAAAATCAAGAGGCTCTTAGGAAAAAGCTTTCATGCATTTTCAGGTGGGCGGTGGTCAGAAACTGGGGTCAAGGAACTTAATTGATGAGACCAGTGATCAAGAAGATTTACTCAAAGAGGAAGAAGATTACAAGGAAGAAAAAAAATGATTCCACAGAAACTTCAGGAAAGCTTCAATTTAGTTGGTTGCTGCTATGAACTTGGCTCTCGAAATGGTACCCAAAGGCATGTCTACATTTGGGGGTCTGCTGATTTTTTTAAGATTTTGGTAACTGTTGAGATGCTGCATTGTGGATGGTCTTGAGGGAGGGGAGACACGTAAACAAGCCTCACTGGAGGTTGGTGTTGGTCGTTTCAGGTGTCCTCAAGTGGAAGGAAGACCTTTCCAGAAAGGCAGCTGAGGCCTTTCTGAGGCAGCAGGAAGCAGCTCCAAACCTCCGAAAGCTTATTTATGGGACAGGTAAAGAATTCAGATTCAGACCTGGAAATGTTTCAGTTTCTCTGATTATTTTCTGAAAGGAGGTGAGAGAATTGGTTGAAGGATTGGGCTGGTATTGTTGACAACCATAATCTCTGGCCATCACATTTTCTGTTTGACAGATGTCTTTAATCATCAACTTACAAGGAACACACATTGGTCTTGTGAAGTAAACTTATGGGTTTGCTGTAAAACTTGATGCAAATACCGTCCATTGCATCATGTTATGTCCTCTATTTAAAAGTCCTTCATGAGAAATTTTTTGGTAGAATTTAATGCCAGAAAAATATTTCTGCCCATAAAAATATTTATTTTTTTTGTTTCTAAGAATAACTCTGTGTAACACATTTTGTTCTCCCTTTTGCCCTTGTCCTCTGATTTTATGCTTTATTAAACTTTCCTATATGTTCTTTGTGGTAGAACTAATGCAAAAATAAGTATATAGTTGTGACCTTTATATTGTGCTCCCTGGTTACTGCACGATGAGATCAAGGCCACATGGTGAGACATTTGGGCTCAGCAGACTGAAATGGGAGGGTTGTCGTGTACTGATTTTTATTCAGGTTTTATCTAGGTACTCTTAGTAACGAGAGGCTAAATACTCTTTAGAGCTCTTCTTTGTAATCTAAAGCTCTGCCTTTAAATGTCGCTTTCCTCCCTTGATCCCTAATATTCTCAATCCTTCTCGACCACTTAGCTACTGCCGTGCAGGATCGCAGAAGCCCCCACACATGTAAAGCAATAGCTTCCTGGTCTCTTTTCACTTGTGGCTGACCTGGCCTCTCAGTGCTGACTCATGTGGCCATCGCCATACCCCGCACAGACAGAGACCCTCAGTTCCTGAGTTCCAAGACTCATGGCCTAAATGGTTGGAAACAATGAGTCCTTAGGGCTGTAGGTGTTTTTTTCTTTTCTCAGTTTTCTGCCATGGTGTTCTCTTTAGTGACAGAAGATAACGAAGATGATGATGATACCCGAGAAGAACTTGGAGGGCTATTTCACGTCAACCAGCCTGACAGAGAGTGTAAACACAAGCCTGCCTCTTTGGACTGCTCCAGATTTCTTGTGGAGGCGCCCCTTGACTGGGATTTAGAGGAGGTAAGGGGGTGGTACGTTTGATTTATCAGAAAATTAGAGAATTGTTCTAGAATAAGATTATCTGATGTCAGTATTGCTTACCTGTTGTTGGCTTCCTTTTTTTATAGGATTACAGGTCATCTAGATATTGTAGTGGGCACTTCATCCTAAGCAATAACATGATCTGAGTTTAGTTAGACCACGTGCACGGCCCACATAGGACAGGTTTCCAGTGTGGACAGTCGCACAAATCTTTATTTTGAAGCATCACGCATAAGTTTTTATACATCTGATGTATTTTGCATCTTATCACTAGGATACACATAGCATCCCTGAGTTAACATTTATAGTTTCTGCTATTTGTAAGCATACAGAAATCTGTGATACCTGTAAACGTTCTTCTTGCATCTCACCACTTTGTAGTCATACTGGAATTCATTCAGTATTGAAACTTGCCACAGCTTACCCTCCTCTTAGACTTTTTCTCTTTCACTCTCTCTTTTATTTATTTTTTTTTGAGACCGATCTTGCTCTGCATTCCAGGCTGGAGTGCAGTGGCATGAGGGTATGGCCCAATGGAGTCTCGACCTCCTGGACTTAAGGGATCTTTCTACCTCAGCCTCCATAGTAGCCAGGACTATAGACATGAGCTACCAGGCCTGATTAATTTTTGTGTTTTTTGTAAAGACAATGTTTCACCATGTTGAGCTAGAGTCTCCAACTCTGGGCTTGAGTGATCTTCCTGTCTTCTCCTCCCAGAGTGCTGGGATTACAGGAGTGAGCCATCGCATCAGCCCCTTTCTCTATATTCTCTTCTGGAATGTTCTGATCTTCCAAAGGCTGCCTTGTTTTTTGTCAGTTCATCTTGGCTTAGATGTCACTTCTCATAGAGGCCCAGTTGCTCTCATCTTGCCTGTTATAATTGGCCACGTAATAATGCACTTTATGAGATTTTATTGAACCATTGTTGATGGTGAAATTTCATACATCTGTAGAAAACCATGTAAAAACAATTGTTTAACTTTATGGGTTGCCAGAAGGTGAGTACCCCTGTACTCAGCACTCAGGCTGGGAAACCTAGCCTTACTGCTTGATTGCGACACCAGCCACGGTCCTCTTCCTCCCTGTAGAAAGAGGTGTGGTCCAGCCTCTTATGGTGATTCTTTCCTTTTCTTTCTGATTTTCATGACTGTTTTTTAGTCTCTCTTTTAAAATTTTTAGTCAACATTCTTCCTTCCCATTTCTTTTTTTGGTTACATTTTATTTAAGAAACCAAGTGGTTGGTCTGTTGAGTTTCTTGTCTTCTGGATTTTGTGGATTGCTTTGCATCCCTCTGCAGTTTCTCAGACCCTCCTGTATTTCCTGTGAATGGGTATGGAGCAATACTGATAGAACTTCTGTGGTGAGCAGAATGTATATCTGAGGTGTGAGTTGTGGCTACTTGTGGCTACTGAGCACTTTAAATGTGGCTGGTGAGTCTGGAGAACTAAATTTTAAATTTTGTTTCATCTTAAATAAGATCAATTTGAATAGCCACGTGTTTCTAGTTACCCGATGGACAAAACACCTGGCAGTTGGATAGGATTTAAATTTGATTTTTATTTTTCAGCAAACATCTTCCTAGGTGGTGGTGTTTTCTTATTAGGAGGCATATAAAGACCAGTTTTAATGGTGTTAGATGGAGACATGTTCTCATCTGCCATACACTGCCATACACTGGGGCAGCAGCCAGTGATTTGGACTTCATGGCATAGATGGAAATTTCCAGGTTTTCTAGGTGGTGGGCAGAAGCCTCACTTTTTAAGAAACTCCCCAACTTCACCCCTGCCAATGAAGACATCGCTTGAGGATACTCCTATCAGTGTTAAGTAGAAGAGATCGTTTCTCAATGTTGAATTTCAGGCAAGGAAGCTAGCTCCTGCGTATCAGGGTGGCGTTGCTTGGGCTGAGACAGGTCTAGACAGCTTGGTCTGAAAAGGGGCTCAAGGAAGTAGCTGTGAAAGGCCCCTGGGATGTTTTCTGCTCCTTTCTCTGCAAATCTCCTGGAAGAAGATCCTGTTAGTTACTATGGGTATGGGGGGTGTGTGTGTGTTCATCACTTGTTTTGTTTTTGTTTTTATTTTTCTGCATAAAGTCTGCAGGAGGCTTGCCAATAGTATCTTGATGTTTTCTGAAAGCAGAGCCAATGTGCACACTCCAGGGCCTGAGGCTGCAATTCTGTGGTATTTGCCGAGGGCTGGTGTGTACCTGCAGACCGTGTGATGGGGTTCAGGGCCAAGGAACACTAGTTTCTGTGTTAAAAAGATATTTTATTCAACTGGATAACAGGCCAAGTCTGGTGGAGAAAAGGTCTACTCTGCTATAGGATGGGGCAGCAGCCTGCAGTTTAGAACACTGTTGTGTGTCTGGAAATTTCCAGGGCCTCCAGTTGCTGGCAGAAGGCCAGAAGGTAGGGTGCATTTGTCTGCAGATCAGCAGAGGGGTTGGGCTCATCCCGACATGATCTTGGCCATGTGCAGACTCTTGAGTTTGCAAGGTTGGTTGTCTTGACTGACACTGCTGTAGGAGGACATAAGAGGCTAAGGGTGACGCAACTGTAGGCTGTGCAGTTGATGTTCACAGGGAGATTCCTTGATGCCTGTGACAAAAGGAAAGATTGAAATGCTTAGGGGTGGGAAGAGGCAACAAAAGCCTACAGAATCTGTTGTTCTCAGTTCATCTCCCATTCTAGTCCAATCGTGTCCTAACATCCTTAGCTACCAATCACAGAGCAGACTCTGCATTTGTGTTCATGTGCCCTTGGATGCTGGAAGGTTCAGATTGGTGCCCCAAGCATCTGTGCCTGTAATTGCAGTTTCAATGGGCTCAGGACCAAGCTAAATGGCCTCCAAGCTTCCTCCAGTTTCGGGCCACGTGCATCTGCAATATACTCCCCTGGCCTAGGTCTTCCCTGCCTCTTCTTGCCAGTTGGGTCAGATCCAGCTTATTAAGCAGCATTCTCTGAGCTTTAATAGAACTGGCTCAGACCAGTTGGAGACTTTTTAAAAGACATATTATTATTTTAGAGTAGTTTTAAGTGTACAGCAAAATGGAGTGCAGAGTCCAGAGTTGCCATAT